AGCAGAGTTACATCACTCTGTCTGGCCTACAGTGCCAATGGCATTAACACAGCGTAACTCCACAGCAAATGAAACTGAAGCAGCCTGGAGAGTTGTACAAAACCAGAGTATATCTAATGTAAGAGATACCACAATAAAAAGCCTTATTACCCAGCCTGTCAGCTAGGATATAGGGGATGGGAAATTTCCACCTGGAGGAGCTGTTTCTCAGAGCATTTCTCTCCAGCTATTAAGGAAATCAATATATTTGTGTTAACATACTAAGCTCAATATTAAGGTCAGCTGTTAAGCTCATATTAAGCTCAAACTCTTTCTGAAGTTGATTCAGAACAGTAACGCATACTGGTAAGATAATATCAGCTTCAAAAAGCTGCCTTCCTGCTTCTGGAATGAGTTAAACAATCATTTAGGCCACAGTAATATATCAAGGACTACAGTATATTTTTTCCAAAGTCTACACAATGTATCTGCTCATCAGCATACCCATCTCTCTTTAAGCACTAATTGCCCAGAAACACGGAGGCAAATAACCGTTGCCACAGCACAACATGCCAGTGCTCTTTTTGGCAGCAGTATCAGATACAGGAGGATTTGGGGTTGGGTTAAGACTTCCATTTCAATTCATAGCACCTGCCTAGGGGGAATTTGTTCCTATTCCCACAACTTGTATCCTAAAACCACTGTGAACTTTTAAACATTGCAGTTAACGTTTAGGTGGGGTGGGATATAAGCAGAAGTTAGGCGTCTAATAGCCTAATTAGTTAGCTAACCTAGGCTGGTCATCCAGGATCCTCATACAGTCACGGGAGAAAAACAAGCACTCTGGAGACAGAAGGGATTTAGTCCACCTCTCATAAACACCTGAACTTGAACTAAGCTCAGATTGAGGCGACTGAATCGAAATGTCTACGCCGCAGCACCTATGCAGGTACTATTTGTCTCGGATCCCATTACAGCCCTGCATGCATCCAGTTGCCTAGATGTAGGTGTCTGGTGCCATTTGAGATGCACCAGGGTATCCAAAATATCCACATAGGCTGGCAGATGTGATGCCTGGGAGAGTCCCTCCCTTCTGGAGTGGCACTGGAGGAGATAGATAGATTTGAACCAGCAACAGACACTTGTGTTTTAGCCACTCCACATCTTCCATTGAAACACTGAGATAAGCAGTTAAGCACAGCATTTGAGACTCTTGTTTTTCAGTCCTCCTTTTTTTAAGGTGGCAGCTTCCCCCTGCGGAGCTGAGCCCAAACCTCAGCCACTGTATGGTCCTGGTAAAGTATGACATTTTTGTTTAATGCCTTTGTGCAGACACAATCTTAGCATAGACAATTCGTCTTCAGGCCTTTTATTACAGAAATAACTTCTAGTCTACTCACATACCTATAGGAAGAAAAAAAAAAACAGCACTGTGTGTTCTGTTCTGTCAGCAAAACCAGAGGAAACCTACTCCAGAGCGTAAAGCAGATAACAGGCAACATCAGGAAATGAAAGCTATCTCAAGGCAATGTTACTGAAACTGCGGAGCAGGGCTGACAGTACTTAAACTTTGTATTTTGGTCATCGGTCATGTGAAACCAAGTACCTCACTTAAGATGAATGCAAATTAACAAAGCAGAAGTGGAATTAGAGCCAGTGGTGAGGTGTCTCCGGGCATCGTTTTGCCAGAAGAGCACAAGGGTGAGGGAATGTGGGCTCAGGCCAGCTTAGGGCATGCTGAGCCATGTGCTCCCGGGGGCTGCGCTCCTCCCCAAAATGCAACGTCTGCTGGGCTTCGCAGACCACTGCTTTCCCAGGAGCAGCTGAGCATGTTTCTAGATTTAAGATTAAGATCTTGGGTTTCCTGCAGAATTATCCTTGTGGAAATTTCCTGGCCTTTCCAACTTCCAACTTCCCTTTCCCTTTTATGGACCCTTCTTTCCTCTGCCCCATGCCCCTAGTCCTCTCTTTCCATTCTCTCTGACCGCTACCAGGCTCCAAAGGGGAGGTCTTCTCCCTTCTCCCCAAAAGTAGCTGAAGTTCATCATACACATTTTAAACTATCCTGCAATACTCAGCTGTGATACATTTGGGATTTTGCTTATATATGAGGGAACTTTCAGCCTCCTCTGATGCCATCAGAGCTGCCAGATTTGTAGCCTCCAAAGGCTAGCTCAGATCTCTGTAGTAATTCAGCGCTCTGCTTACTTACTATCTTGACTTACGTGAGTTTATTTCTGGGATGCCCTTTCTATGCTGCCCTCCATCAACATCATAAACTATCAAATGAAATAATACACGTAAGTTACTCAGTGACTACAACATGAGTTGATAAAACTCCCACCTTGATGACTTCCTTCCTTCCGCTAAAATAAAAACAAAACCATTGCAACCTTAACTCTTTCTTCAACACAGTTTTGAATCTGAAACATAGAAAGTACAGTTTCAAAATTACAGGCAAATGCGGTGAAATCTCACCCTGATCTCAACCCAGAAAAAGGAGGAAAAAGATGGGAATACCATAAAGGCATAGGAGCAGGTAGCCAGGGCTGTGAAATAATAGCCAAGAATCCATTTCAGATCATCTAGTGCTACCTGCCAGCATAGATATAGCATCCTGTGAGTGAGTACCCTTCAAAATTACTGATAAGGATAAGCCATTAAAGGATTGAACTACGTAAGTAAGTGCAGATTTTAATATTATTAGATACAGCCATTAATCAATCTGACAAGCAATCTGCCTCCCCATTTCATAACTATTCTTAGTAAACTAACCCTTGCAACAATCAGAGGCTATTGAACTATCTAATATTTCTGTGATTTCTTTAGAGATAATTTCACTCTTTCTTTTTGCTTTCCTGGCCCCATTCTGACAGGAGACCAATGAAGCTGCTGAGAATGGAAACAATACCTTCTTCAAGAGAAGAGGCTTGCAATCTGCAAATGGATGCATAATCCTCTGGAAGAAAAGGTTTCCTTAGGCAACGTCTTGGGAGGTGCAAACAAATGTTTGTTCTCATCGGATTTTCTGGGTAAAGTATCATTTTTAATTAAAAAATAGCTCTCTTTTTTGTAATCAATAGACCCATCAGCCATCAATTTCCAACAAAATGTGGTGACTTGGGTTTCCTCAGGAGCTCTCCAACACTTTGTCTCTCAGAATAGGAGTACAGTGAGGAGTCCTGAGGAGTCCTGATTTGCTCCCACTCATGTGCCTGTGAAGCTATGTGCTCCTGGTGCTTTGCACTGGGAATCCCGCACAGGTCCTTACCTGTAGACACTTCCCACAGATGATTTTGTCATTTTATAGGCTTTTCCCTCCCCCAAAATACATGCAAACTATTCTTCAGTGAAACCATCAGACACAGCACCCTCTTGGGCAGGGGGCAGAATTAGGGTAGGAGGCTTGGGCACAGAGGCTACGCGCTCCAGCACTGCTCTCCTGGGGCCATTGCACCCTTCGCCTGCCCTGCCACAATCCCCATGTCCTAGGGGTGGCAGAGTATGGAAACGTACCGTGTTTTGTTGTTGAGGTGAACTTCAAACCTTCTGTAAAAACACTTCAGCGCGTTAATGCTGTAGCCAGGTCTTTAGTGAAAAAATGCAAATAAAGCATGTGATAACACTATTCAGAGATTAGTGCTTGCAATTATATCTCCCAGAAAATAGGTTCATTAATCTGAAGAGAGAAAAGTCTAGTGTTTTTCTTCTTGTAGCTACATAGCTGCTTGCTGTAATTTTAGTCTTTCTTACTTATACTACAACATCAGCCGAAGCTCTGCAGAGCACCTTTAAGATACATCCAAAATGCTCTCCAGGGAGTCACCTCAGGTGTAGCATCAGCCCTGCCAGACATGGATTCACTCTATGAGAAGCTATTGGGGTTTCTCTCTGCTGCCTTTACTCAGACAACACTTAATGTTGCAGAAGGCAACCTCTGCTAGCAGAAAGCATCTCAGACCTTCTTTTCCCCAGATAAAGGAGATATGGTTGTCTTGTAGGATAACAGTGTGAAGGCATCACTAACTTGCACGTTCTCTCTATTAGAAATTGACCCAGAAGAACAGTTCTGCTCAGAGAATGTGAGTGGCCCTCGATGCTCATTTGAAAAGTTCAAAGTGAAGGAGAGAAGCTTAGTTTGTAAGCTTTCTGTTTCAAGGGTTGCCTTTTCCATGGGTAAAAGGACACTCCCTTCTCTCTTCCTTTCCATCCCCACAAAAATGAAAGTGGAAGAGGTTAGTAAGAACGCAAAATAAAGGGTTTTTCAACCATTAGCTTTCACTCTCTTCTGGCCTTTCCTGCTTTATTAAAGCAAAAAATTCCATTCATTTTTTCCTGTTAGAAGGAAAGAAAGAGTGTGAGTCATCTGATCAAAATTAGACACGGATAGCATAGATATTGCCTCTCAGATTAGCTGTTTGCCTTTAACTGCAATTGCACTTTTCAGAGCAGATGTCAAACTCCACTACCTCCCTCTTACATAGTAGGAGAAGTTCTCAACAGCACTCACATTTCCCTGGGGTGGCAGATCTTAAACATCTCATCAGAAGGACCTGGATGTCCTGGTGAAGGACAAGTTAACCAGGAGCCAGCACTGTGCCCTTGTGGCCAAGAAGGCCAATGGGATCCTGGGGTGCATTAGGAAGAGAGTTGCCAGCAGGTGGAGGGAGGTGATCCTGCCCCTCTCCTCAGCCCTGGTGAGGCCTCCCCTGGAGTACTGGGTCCAGTTCTGGGCTCCCCAGTGCAAGAGAGACATGGCGCTACTGGAGAGAGTCCAGCAGAGGGCTACCAAGATGATGAGGGGACTGGAGCATCTCTCCTCTGAAGAAAGACTGCGAGAGCTGGGCCTGTTTAGCCTGGAGAAGACTGAGAGGCGATCTCATCAATGTGTACAAGCATCTGAAGGGAGGTTGTCAAGAGGATGGGGCCAGACTCTTCTCAGGGGTGCCCAGCGAAAGGCCGAGAGGCAGCGGGCACAAACTGAAACACAGGAAGCTCCGTCCAAACAGGAGGAAAAACGTCTCTCCTGGGAGGGTGCCTGAGGCCTGGAACAGCTTGCCCAGAGAGGTGGTGGAGTTTCCTTCCCTGGAGATAGTCCAAAGCCGCCTGGACACAAGCCTGGGCAACGTGCTCTGGATGAGCCTGCTTGAGCAGGGGGGTTTGTCTAGATGATCTCCAGAGGCCCCTTCCAACCTCTACCGGTCTGTGATGCTGTGATCTGGACACACCTCCCCAGCTGAAAGGCGCTTGTAGGACAGGCACTACTGCACCTCCCTTCTTTCCCTGTGATTGCTTATGCAATCAGTCCTTTCATACAACAGTCTCAATCACTTTTGCAAAAAGACCATGGAAGATCATGCTCTCTCCTCATGTCCTGTGTAACATCACCCCTCCAGGGCTCACATAACACAAGACTCAGCGAACAAAAATAACATCCAGCATACACAGAAAAATGCAGCCCCAGCAAACCAGGCTGAGCATGAAGGCACCTTTTTTCATCTCCATGAAACCCCCATGAACATGATGCCCACCACAGCATTGCTGCCCCATGCACCAGCCCCATCCAGCTGGCACTGCAGGAGATAGGCAATAAAACAGGATAACCACAGCATGTACAGTAAAGCTATATGCTCTCAGGAGAGACAAAATGGCATGCCCAGCCCAGAGAAAGAGTTTCTCAGCTACAGGGTGGTCTGCCAGATGGCCTCAGGGCTGGAAATAGGCCTGTTTATTTAGTGGTATGGTGATAGGTACTCTGTCCCACAAACCTCTCCACTTGTACTGTCACTAACTCAACAGCCAGATTGAGTGGTCTAGATAAAAGTAATGAGAATGCAAATGGCAGAAGGCAAAGCTTGTTTGCCTCAACATAGGCATCTAGCATAATCTGAGAAGTCCCGGGGTTTCCAACGCATCTGCACAGGGTTAGGAGCTATAACATAGGATCTTCTGGAGACCTGCAGGATCAGCCTGGGTACCTGAGAGCATCTCAAACGACATTAGACACCTCTGCGCAGGTGGCTAATTGATCCCTGGAAATCTAGGAGTGGGAGGTGAATCACAGAGTCCTTGGATGTGATTTAAATGCCTGAGTGCTGTGGCTGGGTGTGGAGGATATGTGTAAACAAAGCTATCCAGAAGCATCAGGTCTGGCTAGCGGAGGGGAAGCAGAGGGGAAGGGAAGAAAGCGGACACATAAAAGATGTCAGAAGACTGTCAGCAGTCAGTATGAATGGTTGCCAAACGCTGACATGGTCTGGAAAACTGGTTTGGGTCAAACGAGTCATAGTCCAAGTATTTCTAATAATTGAAAAGTGAAACAGTTAAAAGATGTGTTAACATTAAAAAGCTCTGATAAGCGGTGAGATAGCTCAGGCCTTGTTCACAGCATTCCTGTGAACACAGACGTTAAAAAGGCTAGGTACATTACTAAAAATAAGGCAGTGCTCTAACTGTCTTGGCAGTCACAGATGTCTGAAAGCAGTAACAGGAAGCACATTTTCCCTTTTTCTGGACCAAAAATCATAGATGCAGGCTGTCAGACTCATGTGTCCAGTAAAGGGTCAACGTCAGTCTCCCTTCACACCAGAAGAGGCAACTTGATCCCCCTCCCACACAACAGGCAGAGGCACCACTAGGGACTTGGAGCTCCCATAGACCCCTGCTCAACTCAGGACCTGAAGTAAACAAGCAAAGACATGGAGATCACCAGTCAGCAGAACCACCGTCCCAGGAGCTTCCTGATCAAGAGAGACTAAACACATTTCCCTCCCAGGCATTCAGGGCAGCTGCTGCCATTTCTGTAGTTTTATACATGTTCAGTGGATTAGAATATTAGTATATTTAAATACCATCTGCAGTTTTCTCATATTTGAGATCTGAGATACAGACATGCAGATAGAGGAAGCACTTCTACCTACTCCCTCTTAATAACCATATGTACAGCACATCATAAAGGTATCTTCTTGTGGCCATCTGCCTTTTCCATTCATCCACATTTCACCCTGCAGATGCATCCTGGCTTTGCCAGTGTCTTTAGCACACGTTGCAAGTTCTCAGTGGCACCAAAGTGCACTATTGCTTCCCCCTCTTTTTTCTGTTTTTCTTCTGAGTACAGGGTGTATAGTTCTCCTGAGCGCGGAGCGAGTTTCTCTCAAGCTCTTCTTTCTTGAGCTCCCACTCTTCATCTGTCTGATCTAAGCAGATTCCTTTCATTGAGGCCGTCCAGCGATAGTTTCTGCTCTCCACCTCTGCTCTGGGGAAGAAAGCAAGCATACAGCTTCAAATACAGAGCACAGTGCAGTCACAGGAAGTTTCATGAGCAGGTAGGTCCTCACGCACAGATGAGGTTATGTATCAGCACGGCCAAAGCACAGCAGTTTCTGCTGCCAGCAATACGTGAGCTTCCCCACAAATTCCCCCAGCATTTATCACCCCAAGTGACCAGATATTCATCTGGAGTTGCATTGAGGTGGGAAACCTTTGGTAAGGACCTAAGGTGAGACTCACGCTCTTATTGTTAGAGGCACAAGTTTAACCATGCAAATCTCTCAAAGACCGATCTTGTGAACTTACATGCTGTTGAATAGACTAAGCACATCACAGAGCAGTTGTACACAGTATTTTTTCAACATTTCCATTTTCTACTATTTCTGTGTTGCTCATTACTGAGTACTAGAAACTCTTAGTGCCAAAACACCAGATCTCAAGATCCTTGAAATCTGGGAGTCTGGACACAGAGTTATTCCTTACAGATAATCTTTTAATCTCAGGAATTATCTGATTTTAGTCCAACTCAACCCTGAAATTTTGCTAAGTTTTCCTTTCAAATTCAGATCTAAACTTGACAATTTATACCCCTATCTATTTTTAAAATAATAGTCTGCATTAAGCAATGTTATAGAAATAAGGCTTTGCTATAAAGGCTCAAATTTTGGATGGGCAAGCATTCAGTTGTGTTAAAGATATTACTTTACACTGCGCAAAATTTACATGTACAAACCATTCAGAACTCTCTTCTCGTTTCTAAGGGTTTTCAGCTGTGTTTTTCAAATTGTACTCATGCTTTCAAATGGGTGAAATCTGTGGATGTCAGGCACTAAACCACCATCCAGCCAAACCTGGGGATTTCCAAGTTGGCAATGTGTTTGCTCTTGGCATCTGTGATTTCTGCTTTTATCTACGTCCCCATATTTTTGCAATATTCATAAATTTTTCACTGAACACGTACACTCCGAGTTTGTTATCAAATTACACAGAACAAGCTGTAACCCTCAAAATAAACACGTTTCACTCTGTTTTTTTCCTGTAGCCTCGAATTATCAGTGAACTATCTTTACACTTGTCATATGACACTTTGTTATTGCAAACAATCAAGGCAAATGAAAAACCACTTTCATCAAGAGCAAAACGAATAAACTGCTTTGGGCAATGAAAAAATATATATTATCAGTCATAATTATAGTTCTGTTAATCACAGCTTTTAAATATTTTTCCTGTTAAGCGTTGTTAACTGCACAGCTGGCACAGTGACACAGGTCTGCAACCCACACCAGTTTCCAGAAATGGTGGGTATGTGTGACACCTGCCTGCACCAGCTCTCACAAGTGACTTAAGCGAGAAATTACTCTTTCCTCTACAAATCACAGACACCAACAACCTCGCTGCGGCGCCAGCACTTTGCAGGTGAAACGCAGACAGATAAGGGCAGCAGGTTTATGCTGCCTTGGCGCTGTGTCCAGCAGCCCGAGGTAAAGCTATTCTGGTGCAAAAAAATCTGATCTAAACTATGGTGGTGTTATTCAGAACTAGCTCTGCTTTGAAGCCTGGTTACAATTTTTTGCATGTCCATGCAAACCTCTGTGAACACTAGTGATATTCCGCTGTAGCAGAATATTCCTCACATCTACATGTCTAATAAAAGCAATCCTCAGCACAGAGCAATCGCTCAGTCCACGCTTGCAAGCAGAAAACCCAGCAGCCAGGGGTCATCAGGCAGGGAGCCTGGGGTCTCCCATCAGCGCTGGGAAACCTGGGCTCTAATTCCCCAAGGATTCAAGGTCTTCTGGCAACAGCTGCTTCCTGGCAGCACGTTCACTTTTCAGGATGTACATGTTGTGGGTTCAAAGCGCTTCTGCTTGTGGAAACCTCTGAACTCGCATTCTGGGTGAGCCACTTAAACCATTAGGTTTACACTATCACTAACAGCTAAGGTTTGGGGCCTCTCCCGAGCTTTAGAGGGAGAATTTAAGCTCTGAATTAAATTTTAAGCATTTAAGCTTTTCCGTTCAAAGCCAACTCGCAACAGATCGTTAGCGCTCAAAAATGGCACGTCTGAGCCTGCACAAGCCTCTAACTCGAGGGCACCCAGTGAGCACTGCAGCTGCGTCGGGAGGCGCCTCCCGGATTTAGGCACCAAAACAATCTGGTGGCATTAGGAGAGAGAGGGGACAGGGATTTGGAGACGATTTGGATGCTTATATCCTTGTTCAGATATGCATCCCAGCCCTGCATTAGGCACAGGCCCTGGGGCTGTTAACTTACAAATTATTTTTTCTCCGTCTACATCTGTTTGCGTGCCAGGCAAATGCCCAAAATTGACAGTGATGCTCTGTAACAAAATATTGCTCCTGTTTACGTGGTTAATACAGCCAGCGCCTTGAACAGAGGACAGATCTAGTCAGAGGCACGCAGGATTAGCACACACACAGAGCTTCACTCCTGTCTGCAATATGCAGAGGTACCACCTAGCAGAGCCTAAGAAGGCACTGCCTGCAGACAGCAATAGTCAGCGGGACACTGCACACAGCTGAAGAAGCAGAAGGTAATTGTTACTGTACTATAAATACTGTTAAGTCCTCCTAGGTAACTCAGGGCTTTTTGGCAACATGAGGAAGTAAAACTTGCATTTGGGCAGACACTCACTGTGGCTGTAAATCATAGTGACTGGGCTTCAAAAGAGATTCCTGAGCCCCAGTGATAAAATCTCGGCTGCTCTGGCTGCCCACAGGCTTTGCCATGGTTGCACAGGGTTGGTAACGGCTTTTGACGTCTTCTCGCGAGCGGTACGAAGCCCAGGCTTTCAAAGGGTCTTTCTGGTTTCTCGGGCCTCCCAGCCCTTGGCTCCTCTGCCTCCCTCTGCGCTTTCTGCAGGGTGAGGGTTGCAGACTTCAGACAGTCCTTCCCGATCTATCTAAAATGAGACTCCCAACCTCAGCACCACGGTAGCTATTTTTATCCAGGTTTTACTCCTTGGTCAGCTCAGCCCACCTCCTCGCCTGGCGCTTCATGCCGACTGGGCTGAGGCTGCACGTATAAACCTCTCTTCTTTCCTTGCCAGAGCTCGGGGGGGCAGAGAGAGGGGAGGCGTCCAGGGCATACGGTACCGTTATACTTTGTTCTAACAGCCAGCCTTCGTGGCTACTCAGAGGGCTCGCTGTCCTTAAAGAGGTTCCTATTCCCAGCCATTTCTCGCAACGTAACAGCAGAGAAATCTGCATTGCCCAGAGCACCGCAGGCTGCAACCCGCTCGTGACGGCTCGTGCGGCCACCTCTCCTGCGGGTCGCTCGGGAACCCCCTGATCTCCGGCTGTTGGCCCGGTCCCCCAAGCCCTCGCAGTTTTACACTTGCCGCCCCTCGAGCCAAGGCGCTGCCGCGTACCGCCACGGGCAGTGGCGCTTCCCGCTCCCGCCAGCCAGGCTGCTGGCTCAGCGGCTGGGCGCCGCGGGGTGACTCAGACCGGCGCGCCGCTCCGAAGGACGACTGCTCGCTTTCTGCACCCTCCGTTAGTCATTCGCCTCAGAAAACTGGCAAGCAGCTCCCAGGGCTGCCCGAGGCAGTTGCCTCCTCACGCTCCCTGAGACAGGGATGTCAGTCCTTCTGGCAGTCCTTCTGGCAGCTGCTGTTG